TATATAAATATATTATATTTTTTGTAGTTTCCTACTCTCTTATTGCTGCTGAATTTTTTATTTTACCTACTAATCTCTATTGTAATATTGCCTAGCTTTTATAAAAAAATCTTTGACTACATGCTATATCAATCATCAGTCGTCCTATTTCACCAGTCTTCATGATCAGTGATCACTCATCAATCATTAGCCATTCTATTAGATGTGTCTGTTGAAATTTTGATCGTATTTTCCTTCCAGTATTTGGTATAAACAAATGGTTTTATTATTTATTAAGTATCACATATTATTTTCTATTATTTTAGTGGAATTATTCGATATTTGTCGAGTTCTCCAAGTTGTCTGCCAAAGTGTTCCCAGAAGGCTTTTTTAGTAAAAAGTAGTAAAGTAGTAAAAAGTTTTTACTTTCTGTTTAACTGCTCAAAAATACCAATACAGCCTTACCTAGAGAAAAAAGAAAAAAAGTACATATGCATGACTCAGAAGTGATAGCAAGAATAAGATATAATATTTATTTACTTTCTAGCTATCGTCATTTGTCATTGAAAATTTTCAGCAATACAGATATTACTTGATTAGTGAAACACATTATGACATATAGTTGTAATATATACAGACATTCATATTCTTCCTATTTATAGTCAATTAATGACCATTATTACCGTACCAATTAGTCATATATGTACATATTTAGAGAATGATAGATCATCATGACTATCATGACTACAAAACGTATAGCTTAAAATACTACTTAAAGTCACTTGTCTAATGGACACACAGAATATATCTAAGATATTATCAAGAATACATATATTTTAGAGGTATTAGTATATTTATAATATATCGATCTCTGATTAGCATTTGCAAATTACCGAAGCTTCTTTTCGACGTTGACATAGGGGCAGACGAGTATCCAGAAATGTAGATGTAGATTTGTAGCGCTCGATTAGTTTAAATAACTTCTTGGATATGCCATTGTTCTATTATTGACTACTTGAAGATTAAAGCCCGAAATAAAATGAATGTTGTTGCAAATTGGCGCGCGAGAACCATATATAAGATTAGCTTCATCTTATCAAACTATTTATGAAAATCCAAGTGTGGTCGTTGATAAGATTTACAGTCCATACCAATGATAACGAAAGAGTCCAAACGTTCCGTAGTGGACTGAGTGTCAGTTGATCAACTTCATTCGAGGTGGCGAAATGATGAGAGTTTCAGTGCTGCTGCCTCTGCTTGGCTGTCTGCTCCTGGGCAGCTCGTGGGCACACCAGGAGATGAGTAATCTGCTGGCGCAACAAGCCAAGGAATTTGACTTATCTGCCACTGAAGTGGAAGCCCTGCGACCATTTTATCGTGAGCTGCAAACACAGCATGACTATCTATACAGCCTGTCGATGCAGAGCGGCGATGGCAGCGCCCAGGTGTCGCTGCCCAAGGTTGAGCCATTGGACGCCACCTATGCGAAGGTCTTTGATGAATTTCGAGAGCAGTTTAAGGGCTATTTAAGCTACAAGCCCATCATTGAGTACGACACAAAGCTGCCCTCGCTGGAGGAGATGGTGGGCCAGCCCAGCAGTGACTTGACTGAGCAGGAGCTGCTGGAGTTGCAGGATCTGCTGGACATACTGCAGGATTTAGTCGATGAATCGCAGCTGGGCATTGAGCAACTTGTGGCACGCGCCACAGACTTGGAAATCAATCTGCTGAAGCTGAACAAGCCGAAGATTGTGATGGCCGCCATTGCTGGGCTGGAGGCAATGTGGCACACCTGGGGGCGTGCCTCGCAAGCCGCCTACTGCAGCTATTCGCATGTTCCGCAGTTTACGGAAGCTCTGCATGCCATCAACGGCGGTGTTGACTGCTACACCTACACCATGGGGCTGATACTGAAAGTCCAGGATGAAACTGTCTCCTCCGTCAAGGAGATCAAGCAAAACGTGAAGCAGCTGGTTAGCATCTACAAAAAGATAAGCGCCAAGAAAACATTGGTGGGCAAAATACTCTCCGGCACACTAAACGTATTCAAAGCTCTACGCCGGCTGCACGACATTATCGCCGTGGGCATCGCTGGCTACGACAAAATCAACAATCAGCTGCCAGGCGCTGCGTTGCAGTCGGTGCAATGTGGCCTGGAATTTAAGGACAGCATTCCGCAAATGGTTGAGACTGTACAGAATCTAACGGTATGCATTACGTTTGTGGACACAGATAAGCCGGAATACGATTTCCTCAAACCAGAGAACGAACGCTATTGGAACACCGGCGCAGAGCCCGTGAAAATTGATCAGGAAAACGACATTGCAGAGGACGACGATGATGGCAGCGATAATATCGACGATGATTACGTAGATCATCGCTAGAATTATCTGGTTAGTTGATAATATTTGAGGAGGCCAAGTCTGTGCAAAGTAAATGCAAGAAAAGTGTAACTAGACAATCCTTGGAATAACAGAGGCATATGCCCAGCTTCCGTTTTAACTAAAAATAGACTTTTCGAATTTACTATTGTGTTTTATAATATATTTGGTAAGCTGTTGGGTAGCCAATCTGATGACATTCACTGATATGCTTAGATCTGAAGTTAGAGGACTTAGGTGCTCATATATGGCTGACTAGACGTCGCTCTCTTTGAGCTGGCGCACATACTGCTCGCTTAGGGATTTGTTGAGGCCCTCGTAGCTGGCATGCAAATTCGATATGGCCGCTTGTGGTGAGCTCTGAGACTTGAGCACATTGCGAGCGGGCGCCGATGTGGATGCGGAGGGACTGGGTGGTGGGTGTTCGCCACCAATGACCAAATCGGCCATCAGTGTTTGGCGACAGAGTGCGGACAATGCACTGCCTGGCGGCATGGGAGCCGGTGGTTCCTTGGGCTTTTTGCCGCCGCGACGCAGCTTGGAGGCCAGCGTGGCAAAGCCCAGTTTGCTGGAGATCCGAGCCGAGCGCGTGACAGTGCGCGGCAAGCTATCATAGGCGCTGGAGTTGCTGACACTCTCCTGATCCGTGGTCACTTCTTGTTGTTGTCGCTGCTGCAGCTGCTCTGTCGAGCAGCCCACATCGCCCCGCATGCTGCCAGCACTGACGCTCTTGTGCAAGGGCACATTGTTCATGGCTATGGGAGTCAGGGGCTCCTGCCTGGGCGTCACTGGTGCACTCTGTAAAAACTCTGCCTTGGCCTGCTGCAGTCGCAAGGCGCGCTCAGACAGCGGCGTCATCGGACGTTGGGGCTCCATGATGGATGTTGGAAACTCGAAGTGCTTTGCCTTGGTTGGAGTGTGCATAACCTTTCCCTTGGCCTCCAGCTTGCGCTGTATGCGTGGTAGTGTATTGTCCTGCCTGTTGGGCAATACTACGGACGTTGATGCTGGCCAGGCCTTGCTCACCGAGGACCCAGAGCTGGTCTTGGCAATCTTGTGCTCAATGTTGTTGCTAACTGTGGCGCTCTGCGACTTGTGCAGCGAGTTCTTCTTGTAGAGATGCGCTTTGCGCGGAGGCGCTTGGGGAAATGCGGGCATGCCCAGGTGACGCTTGGAGCGCGTCAGGCATTTTATGCTATCGCTAGCAAGTGGAGCACGCACCGGAATGGACGATCGATGCACATCGTTGGCGCTCTGGCACTTGCGCAACTCATCCTTGGCGCGCAGAGGCAACAGGCGCTCCAAGCTGATGGATTTGTATAGACTTAGAGGACGTGGCGCAGCCTGCTTAGTGGGCACCTTGGATATGGGAGACTGTGCCTCCTCGACGCTATACGTGGGACTCTCCAGCTCCTTCTCTATGACAGCTATGCCCTCGGGGGCATTGGGCTTCGGCACTGCAGTGAATAGCTTGCGCTTGGTCTTCACAAACACATTGGCATTGGTGTTGTAGCTGCGTGCATGCTGCTCCGGCAACGGCGGTGGTACGAAGCCAGCTTGCTTGGCAATCGGCTGGGCTATACTGCTGGCTATGCTTTGCGATTCCTCGATGCGCTCGCCAGGCTTCACTTTTAGCGAACTGCAAATGATTTCCTCTGGCTCGGCCGATGGCGCATGGCCAGCGGTTGTCACAGAGCTCAGGCGAAAATCATCATCTAATGATCGCTGCTTTAGCCGGAAGTTCTTGCGGCGTATGCGTCGCGGTGTCTCCAGCACACTCTGCGTATCCGCATCACTGCTATCGCTCTCGGTTTTACTATTCTGGCGCGAGCCCATCTTGCGCAGGCGCAGCTTTTTCTTCGATGCAGTCACAGAGCTGCTCGCTCGGCAGAGGGTGCCTGTCGTGGTGCTTGTCTCGGTCTCGTGCTCCCTGGGCGAGGGCGAGGGCGAGGCGGCGCTGTGCTCATCCAGCGTCAGATGATCGCGGCTGGAAGCATCCCCAGTGGCATAGGTAGAGCTGCTCTCCACTTGCTGCCCGTCCTCGGCCGTTATGTTGATGTCCGGCACAACGTCCCGGGGGAAACGAGTCGTGCCGCCCTCTGCATGGAAATTAATGGAAGGTAATGAAGGGACATACAGTTATTTAAAATAGAGCTTACGTATGCTCAACTTTAGGCAGAGTAGCGATTCGTGTAGACCCTGAAGCTCCTCCAAGTACTCGGTCGTGCGCTCCGCCATTGTCTCCTGACAACATGCCTCATCCAGCGGCGACTTCACAATCTGCAGTATACAAGCACATTACAGTTCGGTTTCCGTGTCGGCCAAATGCACCTACCAGCTCGGCCAGACGGCCCAAGTCACTCTGAACATCGGACACAGCATTCAGCACGTTCGGCTTCATCAAATTGTTGGAGTAGTATAGATAAATACTGCGAATGCTCAGCAAGGTCGCCTGGCAATCCCGCATTTCCACATGCTCCACGATGTCTGCGGTGGCCTGCTTGAGCCGGGCAAACAGCTCGTCGGCACGTTTCAGTGCACTCAGCAGCGGGGCCAGGTTCGTGTGCGACTCAAAGCTCTGAACTCGACGCGAGTTGCTGCAGAGGTTTATAAATAGGCGAGGCGTCATTAAAACCGTTTCTAGTCATTAAATGCATTCACTTACACATAGTCATTGCACTGCACCTCCTCGTACTTGTAGATGGGCGTTTGCTGCTCGACCAGCGTGTGGGCGGTAACCAGCGGGGAGGCGGTGTCGTGTATGTGCTCCTCCACTTCGACCATCACGGCCTCGGGCTCGTCGTACTTCTTGAACTCCTGATCCGGCGAATCTGTGCAGTCCTGCATCTCCTTAAAATCGTTGACATCGTTTAGCGACAATGATGAGGCCTGCTGCGATATGACCGGTGCCTGATTGCCATTGGGCGCCACACTATCCAGCGATAATGAGCGGCTCAGCGTCGGTGAGTGCTCGGGGTTGTCTACATACAAGAGAAAATATCATGTCATACTAACAACCAGAGTCTTGTCAAATAGGACTCACTTTTATTGCACTCCTTGTTGATGAGGCCCACATACAAAGGACTGTAGCCAGGATGGAGCAGCGCAAACGTGGAGGCCTCTGGTCCGATGCCTCTGGCCTTCTCCCACTCGTAAAGCTTACGTGTAAATTTGCGAGAGATACCCTCGAATTTTCTCACCTCGCCATCTGAGGTCTTCACCTCAATATTCTTAGATGTATGATCCGGCGCCACGATAGCTTTAAGGCGTGCCAATCTGAGAGTAAGATAAATAGAAACTGATCCAGGCGGGGATATTTACATTATACACACTTTTCCTTTTCGTGCGGCTTGTGCTTGTACCAGCGATCATCATCAGAGCCTCGCCGGCTGGACTGATTGTGCTTGGAGCTGCGCTTGAGGGAATCATTATCGGAGTTGGTGCCACCGACGGGCGTACACTTCAAGCGGTTCCATTGCTCTGAGGATAAATATTTTGGATAAGCAAATATCTCAATCGCACAGCCCACTGTGGACTCACCCAGCTTCTTTTGAAACTTTTCAGGTAAATCCTTTTGGTCAGGCAGCGCGCACAAGCCCTGACCCTCAAGCTTCAGTGCACCCGAGCTCCAAAGATTCCAGTCGATTTTTGGCTTTATATCGCCGCCACTTAGACTTTTGGCTGTGGGACTCGCCGCTGGCTCGGAGGTGGCATAGCAATTGGAGCTCTGCTGCTTGGCCCGCCATTTGTGAAGCTTCTTCTTGAACTGCGGCGTCAAATTCTGCTCGAGCTGTTCGGTGGACATAAGATCACTGTGCAGCAGCTGCGTGGGTGAATGCTCCTCGCTGCTGCGCTTGCCGCTGCCACTGACGCTGCCTGGGCCACCACTGCTGAGCTTGACGCCTGGAATGGAATCGGGATTAGGCGTGGTCGGTGGATTACCTGAATGTCTGTCGTGTGGCTTACTACGATTGCTCGCACTGGCTCGCTTTAGTTCGCATTGCTTGTGCTTGAACTCCATATCTAGTTTGAGTAGTAGAAGTTGATAATGTTGAAATACTTCATCTTCGTTCTGTGTGAAAGTCTTACAGTTTGGCGTCGTGGGCTCCGAGGAAACTCCACTTGATAGCTCCTCGCTCTCTGTAAAGCCAGACGTTAATGGAAACCGCTAATATGGTAGCCACCAAACAGCTCACCCACCAAATTCACCAAAGAAATCCGAATGCCTGGATGGACTGCTCGGCACCGAGGAGTTGCCCGGCGAGTTCACTTGACGCATACGTGATCCATCCTTGGGACTCTTGAGCGGCGAATGCAGCTGCGGCAGATCACTGCACACCTGATTGAGATTTAACGGACTGGGCGGCAGCTTGTTCCGGCGACTGGTCGTCGCTTTGATGTCCGCTACATGATCCTCGGGCAGCACCTCAAAGTCCGAGAAGGCTCGCGAGCGACGTAGAGACTTATTCGATGATGATTTGCTGGGCAGCGAGCACTTGGCCGCATCCAAGCGCTCATCCGTGGCCGACTTACGCAGCTCCACTTCATAGCTGGAGGGGCGCGAGTCACCCTTCGCTGAATGTCGCCCTGTAATTAGAGTGGAATCTGCTCCAAATAAATAAATTAAGACAGTTCGAGAAGGTATTTACGCATTGGCTGGCGACTGCCCGCATCCATTTGCAGCTCATCCAAGGAGCTGGCCGAGCTGATGGTACCAGGTGTACCGCCCGTTTCGCTCAAAAAGTGACCCGACGAGGAGCTGATGATGCTGTCCGCGGAGCTACTACCGCCAGCGCCGCTTATTGGCACCTTTAAATACCTAGAAGAGATTATGAACTTAACATCGATTATAGTGTAGAACAGAATTATGTGAAATACCTTTCTACTTCCAGATTGAGCGGCATCAATGTGTTGGAATCGTGAGCAGCTGTGGGCGGCACATTGGCCCGCTCCCACTTGAAAGCCGCCTTCACCTTGGTCCACTTGGACACCTTGGACTTGTTGTCGCTGTAGGTGCTCTGCCGGCGCAGCAAATATGGCCGAGAGGAGCTCTTCATCTGCCGGTCGCCCTTTAAATACATGTTTATCTCTTCCTCCATCATGGACTTGCTGCGCTCGCGTATTCTGTGGTGCAGATATCAGACTTACCCCAGCGTGAAATATTGTATTTCAATATACATACCGCTTGAATTTGCCATGCTTTGTGGGTGGCACCACCTCTGTGCCCAATAGGGATTCCAGCCAGGTCAACGAGTGCTCCAACTCAAATTCGGTGTCGGCGGTGGGTGTGGATGAGGCTGGAGCTGGTGCAGCCGCAGGAGCAGTTGCTGCAGTCAGAGTTGAGGTTGAAGTTGAAGTTGAAGCAGCATTGAGGGCTATCATATCCGACTCCATTTCGGCTGCCGACTCCTCGTCATTGTCCGTGATGGTGGCCAGTTTCTGCTCCAACAGGCCCTCAAGCATTGCACACGTGCGAGTTAGTTGATCCATGGCCTCAATGGCAGTGTTGAGCCGATTCTTGAGCGGCTCAATCGTGCCACGATCCGCTCGGTAGGGCTGACAGAAGTGACAACTGTGCTTTCCATGCTCGCACACAGGCAAATCCTTCTCCTCGCGCAGCTTGGGCGAAGCAGAGAGATTGCGTGCCCGCGAGGCCACAGCTGGAAACTGGAAGATGTTCTCATCGGTCCGTCCGCACATGGCAGGCGGAGCCGTCGGCAGGGATTCATAGTGCATGGCACTGATTCTATGTCGTGTCCGACGCGGCTTTGGCGGTGGTGCTCCTTCCATTGCAAGTTGAGAAACCAGCGCAAGTCCACTTCGGTTTACATAAATATATATATGTATGTGTGCGCGTGTGTAGGTATGAGTGTCCAGCTATGTGTGCCTATGCGCGTACTGAAATGCTCAATTGGCTTTTGTTTGTTTACTCGGAGAGATATGCCACTAGAAATACACGCAAGACAAGAATATCCCACGAATTATCGAAATCAAAAATTTGTTTATAAAAGAGGAAGACAAATGTGGAACGTCCGCCACACACACACAGTAACCCAAAACACAAGCACACAGTTCACCCTCTTATAAATATGTATGTATATGTATGTGTTTGTATATAAATTGGCAGACTTGTGTATACGTATCGTATATGGGGTAATTTGAAATGCCTTAAAGTGTAACGCTTAAAATACATGAAATAAACAATAAATTTGAAAAACGAAATTTTAGCACGTTTCGCCACATGTGCAAAAGTTTTGGAAATATTTGAAATAATATTTACGCCTCTGTGGTCAATAAACGGAACGGATCAGAGCAAAACGATTTGAAGCCCCCCTCCCCCCTCCCCCCTCACAATTTGCGAATGCACTTGATGCCACAATTTGTTGTACAAATATATTATTATCCAGCTAGCAATCGACAGGCCAAATAACAAACAGCCGCATGAAAAATAACACAAAATCACAATAAATAGAAACAATAGCGTAAACTATTTTTAAATTGCTGACACTCTTTTGTTTGGCCTCCCCCCAGCCAAGACACTTCGTTGAGACATACCCCCTCCGCCCTCCACCAACTGGCATTACCAGTTGGTGAGGAGTGCACACTTCCAATATTTCATTTTTAGGTTACACGCAATTAATATTTCCATTTTTTTGGGAGAAATGTGGCCCCCAAAGTGCAGCATTGGATATGGACGTGTGTGTATATACATTACTGTGTATGTATGTGTGGGTGCGTGCACGCGTTTGTCTGTGAGTGGAGCTCATCATGTGTATATCTTAATGCCCATTACTTTCACTAGGCGTTCGTTTCGCCACTTTCAGAACGCTATATAGAAGATATTGCCACATTGAATACACAATTTTAAATTTTATGTTCTTCGGGGCATAAAATAGACGAAAATATATGATTGTGCGCAAGATTTTCTGGTATTTGCTGTGCGTCGTTATTTGTAAAAATTTGCATAATATTAAAACAACAAATAATTACTTGCACTTTTGTTATGCACACAATCGTCCGCCCCACCACAGAATTTCCTTTTTATCTATATTGTTAGAGAATCTTTCGCGATTTTTTCACGCCGCGAAAACCGTATTATGCCGTTCGTTGGTCGAATCTATTCTGAGCACATATGTATGCACACGGCGAGCGATTGGCGTGCTTTTGAGAAAATCTGAAGATTTTGATTTTATATATACATTGAGAGTATTGCTCTCGAGCATCTTAATTTGTTCTCTATCAAATTAATGAAAGAAAATATGAATTGGACACTTTATTTTATTTTAAATTTATCTTTCAGTTTTTAGACTTAATTCTTGCTTTATATTTGAAAATATCCTTACAAAAATTTATAACCGACTTTTAACTGGAGTGACTCTGCTAAATTTCCCAAAATATTCAATCACTAACTAAGCTAGGTTCAAAACTTAGATTAAAACTGAATTTACTGCATACCATGCCATAAATAACACTTCATTGAAAATAATAATACTAAAATATTTATTACAATATAAATGTTCAGAGAATAAAACATTTTAAGATAACACTGTATAAAAAAATTAATTGTGAGAGAATTTGTTATGAATTTATAAGGTAGCTGGAAACTCTGCTGAATTGTTTTGATTTACTTTCAACATCTGATTTGCTATCGATAACTTTGTGAACGATAATTTTCCCATTGTGCACTGGTCACTCTGCAGTTCTGTTATGGTTTTGTTCGGAACAGCCGGGTATACTTAATATTATATAATTATAACTTAACAATAACTTCAGGACTCAAAGTAATATTCTTAACTGAAATGTTGACCCTTATATCAACGATGCGTGCCCTCGCCGTGCGGCAACAATCAGGAGAGGCATTGCGGTGCCTGCACTTGACCGCAGTCACGGAAGCCGCACGCAAAGGCACCCGTGAAAAGGCACGTAAAAAAAAGGTTAAAGTGGAGGTAAAGAAAGTTGGATTCATTCCCCACAATCAGCGTGACAAGAAGTAAGTGACAAGTAACCAAGCTATAGACATCTGACTTTTAATTAATTATATTTTTTTAGAATTAACGTTAAACGCGCTGATAAACACGTGGACGACTCCTGGAAACAGGTGCCCAAAGATGACGTCTACGTGGGACGCTATTATCGCTGGCCGGTTTATACGGTAGCAGAGGCCATACAATGCCATCGGGAAACACATCACCCAACCATGTATAATGTGCCAAATGCTTCGTTGAACGTGGAAATTGAGCTGAATATGCAAGGTGAAAAGGCAACACGATTTGTTGATAATTTTCAGCGCATGGCTATGATACCACATAAATTTGATCACGGCGAGGAACGTAAGATTATAGTATTCACAAAGGGCAATGTAAGTCTGACAATGAACAAATATATATTTCGTGCATGCTAATACATAAATATAATTTTAGGAAGAAATTGTTGAAGCTCGCGAAGCAGGCGCTACTCTTGTGGGTGGCGTGGAGCTCATTAAGGATATAACAGCTGGAGAGCTGCTGCTGTCTGATTATCAGTTCATTATTGCGCACCCCAACATTCTGCCCGAGCTCGTTGCACTACGAGGCTTGATGAAGCGCAAGTTTCCCAACCCAAAGAGCGAGACTCTTGGCGTAAACCTTGCAGAAATGGTTGTCAAATTCTCGAATGGCATCAGCTACAGCGCAACTAAAGATGAATATCAGCAAAACTTTGGTTTAATTAAAGCCAATGTGGGCACTCTGGATATGGATGCTCAGCATCTCGAGGAGAATATACGTTTTCTGTTGCAAGATGTAAATAGTATGCGACCCAAGCGGGATGGACGCTTCATAACGCGCGTATTACTTAAGAGCGCACCAAGCAGTGAACAACTGAAGATAGATCCATTTGTATATATACCCGAGTTTTACGATAAAACCGCAGCCAAAGTTAGCAGGGAAGCAAAGAAGGAAGCAGAACCAGAACCACAATCAAAGGAAGCGGCAGCTGCATCAAATTAGCTCATAATTTATTATTGTGTACTCACATAATTGGTTGCTTTATTGCTAAATAATCCAGTTGCGCATTAAAAGTCGGAAAACATAGTTTACAAATATAATTTAAAGGAACGTTTTTATTCCCATATAGCAAGAGCTGCTGCATCCGTCGTTAAATTCTCTTAAATTAGATTATTTTATCGCTTACGTATAGGTTTGGTTTACGGGTGTATATAAAGATCAAAAGATATTTGTGCGCTATGACAATGATGGGAAATTAAACGCCCAACAGTTTTTTAACTGACATACACTAACACAATGCTTACGATTAGAACGCTGAAGAATTGCACTATATATAGTAATGCGCAGACAGATAGAAAGATAGATGAATGCTTTAAATTCTTTGAAACCGAATCGAATAACGGGAAATATTAAATTATGCTTTCAATGTTGCGGCGTTTCGTTGTTGGTGCTGCTGCGCCATTTCCAATTGTTTGACTCGAGTGTAAGCTGCACTTGCAACCAATACGACTATATTGGAAACCCACCAAATCGCGGAGCGCACATCGTTGTAATACTGCGTGGCAATAACTGTTTGTGCGCACGCCTTAGCCGTGCCGGAGATGTTGTGCGTTAGCGGTGAAGTAACCTGTAATCAGCAGATGTTTGATAACTACATACCTTTAGCAATAACATTGTCGTTGACTCACTAACCTTTATCTCTAAAGCTGTGACAAAGCCAATGGCAAAACCACAAAATCCACTGAGCGTCATTGCCGCCCAGAACCACGGCGCCCACAGGTGCGGGTATGCCAAAATTGTGCCCAGCTCACCGTTCAGAATAATGAGAGGTAAAAAGAGGACTGTAGAGTAGAGATTATTATAGTAGCTCAACAGCCAGATCTCTTGGTTGACATAGCCCAGCGACTTTTTTGTTTGTATCGAGTACATGGCCAGCGCCAGAGAGCTGAGCACACCAAATATTGTGCCACGCCAGGAAAATGATTGTGTTAGGCTCTCCTGATCCACACCCATCCAAAAGCCCAACACAATTGTGGCACAGCACACCAAGCACTTGAAACTTGTGCGTTGTCGCAAGATCAGGTAGGTTAGCACTACACTAAACACTGTGGTGAGGGAGCGACCAATGTAATAGAAGGCGACCGTGACGTAGGCGAGCGACAGATTGTTGGCTCCGATCATAAGCGTGTAGAGCACTGTTAGCGGGAGTAGCTTTCGGAAGGTATCAATGTCCAATGGATTTCCCTCCGGAAACGTGAACACACTCGGATATTTGCGACTGAGGCGACTCATTGTAAAGCATATGATGGTGGATACAACACACTGATACCAGGACATGAAAAGTGGTGCACCCAAATTAACCGCATCGCTGCTCAGCAGATGTTTATTAACAAATACAGTCAGTATGGAGGTGCACCTGGTAAAGGCAACGTGTACAAGTTACCATATAAATACGATTTGATGCTTCGATTCTCTGATACTCACCAATATAATGCTACAACAAAAAATATCTTTAGATATTTATTGACTAGCCGATTGTGCTCTTCTAAATTTTTATACATATTGTCTCGTGCTAATTGCAAATTCGTCTGTAGCTATAAAAGTAAAAAAAAAAAAAAAAACTGTGCGTCGCTGCACATCGCCGGTAGTCGATCAGCTGTTCAACTTAAAAATTTCCCCGTTGAGCGCTACCACCCCCAGCACACACACATACACACACTTATAATCACTTGTAAGAATTAATAGATGCACTCGAATTAGTAAAGTTAAGCTCAAATTTATTGAAATATGTATTATATAGTAGTTATTTAAATTAACATAATCATTTCTGCGTCTGTAAATAATTATATTTAGGCTTTAGGCTTCTTAATGGATATGAATTTGCGGGACTTTCATGTATTTCACTTGTCCCACTGGCGGAATTCGGTGCCTTCAGGCGGCTTGACAGTGACCTTTTCCTTGGAAACCTCGTTCCAGTTGGTGCTTAATACAGTGCCGCCAGATTCAGAAAACGATTTATTCATGGCCTTTTGAACTTCCGGTGAGGACGAACTGTAGATCTTTTTGAATAGCTGGTTTAAAGCGGCTTCGCCTTTTGCCTCCTTCTCGTCAAGTTTTTCCTCTTCGCTGACTAAACGATCCCAGTTCTTTGCCTGGCGAATGGCCACTTCTTTCACCACTTCGGCCTTCTGTTCAAGACTTTCCCAGCGCACACCAGTTTCCTTTGCCAATGTGATCTCCACTTTTGTAGAAAAAGCTTTGTGTGAGGACCGATCCACAACAATGGGATGCAGAAGATTTAGGATCAATTCATGTCCATCTGCAGTCATATGTACTTTTTGTGTTTCAATCTTGACGTTATAATTTTTTTCAATGGCGCCTTTTAAGAGTACTGTTATGACCACCTTGGTCTCGGATTGATACCAATCAAATCTCAGCGACATTTTGTGTATGAACTCTTGGTTGAGACTAAAGAATAATATTTCACTCGAGTATTCAAAATTAGTAAATCTTGACAGTACAATGAATAGGGGAAATATCTAGAAAACAAGCAGAGTTGCCACAAACTACAAAAACAGCTGTTCAGTTGATATGAAAGTTTACAATAAGTTTGTTGAAAATAAAACTTTAAATTAGATTAATGTAAGAGTCAAAATGTGATAAAGTTGATGCTTAATTTAAAAACAATTATATTTGAAACAATTTTTTTAACAGTTCGTTAAATTAGTATTTTTGCTAGTCTTCAATCCTGAGTTGCAAAATTAAATTGGTATTTATTAGCACCAGATATGCAGCCACACTGACCTGTGTAATTGTCAAAGGCGAAGGCGAGCGAGAGACGATAAATAATTTTTATTTTTGCTTTAATTATTCGTGCGCTGAAATGAAATTCTATTGTCGAAAAATGCTGGAAAGTGTGTTTGTGTGAGAAAATAGTGTAAACATATTGCCACTGTCAAACGTAAAGGCAAAAATTCCTTGAAATAATTTCCAATTGGAATTGAGCAAACAGGGTGTCTGTTTGCGTATGTGTGTGCGTGTGTGCTGTGCCTGTGTATGTGCCATCCTTAATTTTTTCGCACATATGTATGTATGTACATACACATGTATGTAGCTGAACATTTTTCTCTAATATACCAACAATCGAGAGCGCACACATAGCAAGGCGAAGAGAGCAGCACGGCGCACAGCCACAGCCACGGTACCCTTGCGAGAAAAGGTAAGTAATTGAGGTGTAATGTAAAGTAATGTCCACCGACTTCCCTGAAGGTCTGCTCTGTACTTTGAGAAAGCTCTTTCAATAACGTATGACACTCTTTTCGCACAGCTGGCTCTTAATAGACTAAATAAAATATTAATTGTAGAACAATTCTAATTCAATTTCAAATTTCAAAAAATAAAATAAACATTTTTCGAAAGGGGGCTCATAAATTAAAATTGCAACTTTATATCGTTTAAGAATTTACTTTCGTTGATTTGAAATCGAAAGTAATGAATCTATGCAAAATGCGAAAACATGTTTCCAACCAGTGTGCACTGTCATATTTGGGTCATTCATGTACTGCGCCTGTCTGTTTGGTTCTTTTCGGTTAGTTCTCTGTTGCCCTGCTTTTTAACGAAGCTGCGCGCTCTCTCTTCCTCTCTCTCACTCATTCTCTTACACATACTCTCGTTCATATAAGTTTTCAAGTGGTATTTTTGTTGATTTAACGGTAATTGTAAATTAACGCACTAGTCGCAATTGTCATATTGTCAAATTCACTTGTGCAATTTGCATTTGCTGTCTATTGCTGTTTTGCGCTGTGAGTGTGTATTGTTTGTGCTGGAATGTGGACGTGTATTGATGTGCGTATGTGTGAGTATGTGCATGAGAATTTCTCGTGTTCGTATAAAAGATAAAAAGAGAGAGGGAGCGAGAGCTTACGCCCGTGTGTACGCTGGGCTAGCAATCGCGATACTAGTTGTGGGTGTGTGTGGGGGTGTCGAGGTGTGGGGCTAGCGCAGAGGTATTAGGATTGCTTGTTATTCTTTCTTTGTTGTTTTATTTGTGAAAAATATCTGCTACTGCTGCTATGTATGCACTGTCCGAGTACTTGTCAATGTATGTGCTCGTTTCTGGTTGTGTGTGCGTGTGTTTATGAGTTGAAGGTAGTAAATACATAAAAAGTAAAAAATCAAATAAAAACATTTGTATTGTATGCGGATATGTAAAAGTAAATTAAACCTAGGCAACAACGTGAACTTTGTTAAGGGCGACTATTAATTCAGCTCTAAGTCTATAGAAATACGTATGTACATACATACGTATATCAAAACATGCACAGGCATTATTTTAAAATACATTCATATAAATACGAAATTGTGTGTGGTTATCTCTTGTACGTTTCATAATTCGTTCAGCGCGTGAATTCCAATGCTGACTAACTCAAATCTCAATGCTGAACGGAAGTGCAGTGTCTAAGAATATGTGCGTTGCTGTAATTGTTGCTGTGGTTTTTGTTGTTGTGCTCCCATTTTTCACCAATGTCAATTTGAGTGCGACCTTGAAATTCGTTTGAGCATGTATTATAAAATTCACTTGAGCATCTATGTACACACATACACATACATACATGCAATCGTGTATAATGTGTGTATATATTTAAAACAAATTCAAGAGTGTCATTGACCTATACTAAAAGTCTTTTAAGTGCTGAATGATAACTGCTTTCAACTGTTTTCAATCCATCGACTTGTTTATTTATAGTACAACTTCAATTACCTCTCAATTGGCAGACACCCCACTGATCGAAACCGTTTTGTAACCACCGCTGCCGCATTGACGCGGCGCTGCCGATAAATCCTGCCAAGATCCAGATCGACACAGCATCAACAACAACAACAAATACAAGAGAACTACAAGTGCGGCTGAAGCAATCAGCGAAATGTTTACGGGTAAACTTCAGATTAAGGTTTGCGAGGCGAGCGGCCTGCGTCCAACAGATTTTCAAAAGCGCCACAATTTAACGTTTGGCAAATTGGCCGATGAGCAGCTGATCGATCCCTACGTGTCCATAGATGTCGACGAGAGTCATTTTGGTAAGCAAATTATCAATTATCATAACAGTTATCCATATTCCAAAAATTCTTGAATAGATCGTTCGACAACCCGACCAAAGACATTCGATCCAGTATGGAACGAGCAGTTCGTCCACGACGTGACCAACGCACGTAACATCAACTTAACTGTTTTTCATGATGCGGCCCTGCCACCGGATGACTTTGTTGCCAATTGCATTATACCATTCGAGGATCTAATGCAAAGCGAGTCAGGTGCTCCGGATCTATGGGTAAATGAATTGTTTTATATATTTAAATTTCAGTTTACCTAGAATATTACAAAAATTCTGAGACTAAGTATAGGCTCCATTATTATTAAATACTATTTTAAAAAATATGCGAACTTAAATTAACTTAGATCCGAAAGTCTCATTAATCAGCGTTATCCATATACTGATAGTGACATTTAATAATTTAATTTTGTTAATGAAATCAAGTAGTATTTGACAAGTATTTGTCAATTTAGTTTCTTAGAATTTTTCAAATTTATAGGGATATTTTATTATGTTTATTAAATGGAAGACTTTTTATTAGTAGTGTTTTATTTACGTTTTTATTTAACATTTTATTATTTTAACCATTTATTTAATGTAAAGGCGAAAGTATGATATTCCCACAGTCGACCGCATATTGATATTAATCTTTTGTCTTGCAGATTAACCTAGAACCACAGGGCAAGATCCACGTCATTATCGAGTTGAAGAGCCGCAATGGTAGACATGAGCATTATGGTTAGTTAATTTATACATTCTGTGGGCGGACAATATAATCTCTTAGACATTTCAGATCAAGCTAAAGCGGATGCCGAGGTGGAGCAGACTGTGGCAGTTAATAAGGAGTTCAAGGAACGCGCTGGCTTCAATCGACGCCGTGGTGCTATGCGCCGTCGTGTGCATCAAGTAAATAGTTTGCACAAATCATAATTGGCAATAAACTAATCAATCGATTTATTTTCCCATAGGTCAACGGGCATAAGTTTATGGCCACGTTTTTGCGCCAGCCGACCTTCTGTTCACATTGTCGGGAGTTTATTTGGTGAGTGAATAAAATATCGCATTTATATAAAATATCACATATATGTAGGTGCGCTCTGAGCGCACTCACAGACAGACTGTCCATCTACAATATCATTCTTGAGTTGTAATTGCAGTGATTAATATCAGTGCATATATATATTTATCTATAAATACATATATATATGTATAATTTTTGGGTTTTTATATGATTTACAAAACACACACATCATAGCATTGTCATTACTCTTAATCTCTTATGATTTTATTGATTTTATTTATTACTATATATTTTTAATTTTGATTTCAATATATCTCGATTTCAATGTATTGCAAACGTAATATTCACAACTTTGGGTTCCACCACGTATTTTAGCTATACTAAACATAGGTATTTTCCTAATTTAAATAATATTTCTTTGGATTAACCACTTTCACATAACTGGCCTTAATTTGAGGGTTTTATATTTGCCATATGCAGCTGCAATTCCTTCACTGGTCTCGTTTGGTCTCTCATGCTATATACATACATACATACATACATCTGCTTTTGACTTTCATTCTTTGGTTTCGAGCTGCGGGTTTGCTTCCTTTTTTGGTTTATTTTTCGCATAAATTCATGCCCATACAACAAAACAAAGACACACATCATTCAGTTATAAAAGAAATATATGCAATAGCCACGGAATTTCTTGCCTTTTTGCAGGGGAATTGGTAAACAAGGCTATCAATGTCAAGGTATGTGTTTTGCTTCAAATTTAAAAGGAATATCTTACAGAGACCTACAAGTCTCTGAGAAAAACATTACACAAAAATTAAAAAAAAAAAAAAAAAAAAATCAAAAGCTATCCATCACTTGCATTTGCTCGTCTCATTCGTTCGTTCGTTCGTTGTTTGTTGATGTTGTTCAGTTTCGGTCCAAGAAACAATGTATTTGCCTTTGTTCATAACAATAGCTGCATTATCTATTTATCTGAATATCAATATTTACAATTTAAGGAAAGTAATTTTTTTTTTTTTTAAAATTTAATTTGTGCCGTCGCTGCCATTGTCGCTTCTCTACGCATTGTCCATGCACCGAAAGTAATGCATTGGCCATTTTTATTTTAATTTGATTATAATGTTTTCAGTACACACATTTTGTAACTCTGTTTTGCACTGTCTTGCGCTCATACTAATGCTCCTTAGATGTTAGACCTTATCGGCAGCTTTAAAATCATATTACTCGTTTAACCTAAGTTTGGTTAGTTCAAGAAAAGTTGATTTAGTTAATGATATAAGTAATAATGATGTTTACACAACATTTATAATGTCTCTGATTTGGTAAGACTAGTTTATCTTTCAAATTCAATATATCTATTTATTTAAGTTGACTATGCTAATATTGGGCTGGAAGTCTTAAGGAAAGAAGTAGG